CGACCGGCACCCTTCATTTTCACTTCCGGACACACCGGCCGATGGAATAATGTTGCTTGGTCAAGGAGGTCCCCCCCCGTCCATGTCACCCCTCCCCTCCGCACTTTCCAACCTCATTGATTTGGACTTTTCAGTCATGCAACCTACACCCTTGACGCCTGAGCATGAATCTGCTGTGGTAGGTCCCATGGTTGAGCCCACCCAAGTTCAGCCTGAGGGTCCACAATCCTCCGGCGAAATTGATCTCCCTGATGAACCAGGCAACCTCCTGCCAGAATCCCCCGGCGATATTGTGGTCCCTAATGAACCAGGTAACCTCCTGCCAGAATATGATTCTTCTGATGAGGAGATGGATGTTGAGGGAAAGGTTGATCTTCCTGGTGAGGAGGTTGACATGGCTACATAATTGCTCAGTGATAGATGTACATAAATGTTTTTCCATGCATGTTACCTATGCCACAATTGAATCATTCAATGATCACTCCCGATATCCAGAACTCGAAACTGCAGATTGAGGTAGATATCACCCAAAACCCGAACACCCGAATGTCAAATTATTAGTGCCGAACCCCGAGTCCCGGGTGCCGGGTACCGAGTCCCAACACCCGGAACTCAGGATTTGACATTTTAGACGAACGACATCTTCCAGACATGTTTAAATCAACCTATGTACATTTTACTAACCCCCAAACCCCAAACCGAGATGTACCAACCCCCGAACCCCGAAACCCGAGAGTGCCGGGTCTCGGGTCTCGGGTGTCCGGAACTCGGAACTTGGGAGAATTTGGGGAGATCAATACAATTTAATTTACAATCGAGTTGATTGACAACACATTGACTTACCCATGTTTTGCAATATATTTTTGTTTAGACATACCGAGTTCCGAGTTCCGGACACCGGAGACCCGAGACTGCCGGGTCTCGGGTGTCCGGAACTCGGAACTTGGGAGAATTTGGGGAGATCAATACAATTTGATTCACAATCAAGTTGATTGACAACACATTGAATTAACTATGTTTGCAATATATTTTTGTTTAGACATACCGAGTTCCGAGACCCGAGACTGCCGGGTCTCGGGTGTCCGGAACTTGGAACTCAGTATGTCTAAACAAAAATATATTGCAAACATAGTTAATTCAATGTGTTGTCAATCAACTTGATTGTGAATCAAATTGTATTGATCTCCCCAAATTCTCCCAAGTTCCGAGTTCCGGACACCTGAGACCCGGCAGTCTCGGGTCTCGGGTCTCCGGTGTCCGGAACTCGGAACTCGGTATGTCTAAACAAAAATATATTGCAAAACATGGGTAAGTCAATGTGTTGTCAATCAACTCGATTGTAAATTAAATTGTATTGATCTCCCCAAATTCTCCCAAGTTCCGAGTTCCGGACACCCGAGACCCGGCAGTCTCGGGTCTCGGGTCTCCGGTGTCCGGAACTCGGAACTCGGTATGTCTAAACAAAAATATATTGCAAAACATGGGTAAGTCAATGTGTTGTCAATCAACTCGATTGTAAATTAAATTGTATTGATCTCCCCAAATTCTCCCAAGTTCCGAGTTCTGGACACCCGAGACCCGAGACCCGGCACTCTCGGGTTTCGGGGTTCGGGGGTTGGTACATCTCGGTTTGGGGTTTGGCACTGAAAATTTGACATATATATTTTTGTGAGTGTTGTGCTTCTGGTGTCCATGCTTAGAAATAGGATTTGTTGCACACCAGGGTTCAGGTGTGGGGTTTTTCCACTTCAGTCCTGGATTATTGGTCAATGCCACACATGATAGATTCATGTTTTTGTGCTTAGGGGTTTAGATTTGGTGGTTGATGGTAGGTATATGCACTGATAGTGTACATGTATCCTATGTGTTTGATTCGCTGGTGGCTACATCAGCTGTATGTCTTGATGGAACATATCTAGGCTCACCCATATATGTAATACACCCCCGTCGGCCCGCCCGTCTATGTATGATCCCCCACGTCGGCCGACCCGTCTATGTGATACATCCTATGTTGGCCCACCCGTCTATATAATACATCCTACATCGGCCCACCCGTCTATATAATTATACCCCACCTCGGCCCACCTGTCTATGTAATAAATATTTTATAGCACCCTCGGCCCACCGGTCTATTTGATATCTCTTTCATCGGCCCACCCGTATATGTAATACATTCCACGTCGGCCCACCTGTATATGTAATACACCCTACGTCAGCCCACCCGTCTATGTAATATTCCCCTACCTCGGCCCACCCATATATGTAATACACCCACGTCGGCCCGCCCGTCTATATAACAATATTTGCCTTACATCTCTCTTCAGCCCAGCTGTCTATAATATCCTACTCTACATATTACCCAGATGGGCCCACCCATCTCCATGAATGATCATATTCCCCCGGCCCATCCGTCAACATTAAGGATATATATATCATTGGCATACATGGGCCCACCCGTCTCCATCGGAAATAATATGAGTCCCGGCCCATCCGTCATCATCGAGAATATACACAACATGGGCCCATGATCAGCTGGCCCGTCTCATACGGATATTATGGAGGTCGGGTGGCCCGTATAATATGGAATTTGTCACTGAAGGGGCTCTGAGGCCATATAACTTGGGTGAGGAGATGACCGTTGGTCAACAGCAGAAGGATTGTCGGTAATTTTCTGTGTCATGTCTGCAGTAAAGTCAATAATAAAACAAGCTTTGGGGCAGGTATGCCTACCTATACGCAATGATGGATAGCAACAGAAAATCAAAATGAACAGATTCAAAGAACCCGAAACCAATGTATCCGCATGAGCTGGGGATAGAAATGGTAATTAAGTTGTTGCTCACCGGCACCAATGGTACAGAACCTGTAAAGCGAGTCCTGTTTTTCCAATTTTGTCAAGCTGGTACTATTGAGCGCATCGTGAGCACAGACATCATACAAAACAGCATCACCAGAGGGTGTTGCTTACATTGTTAGGGGTATGCGGAATGCAGGTCATGTTGAGGTGGTCTGTCTGTTGGGCGGATTGCACGAAACAAGTGGTAAATATGGGGGGATTCTGAAGGGGAAAATAAACACACCCCAAAGGCCTCATACTTATGAGGTATATTTTAGTGAGTGCGAGATGATCATCCATCATTTCATTCTGAACTAAAAGAGTCAGAACCACGACCATTAGTACTGAAGCGAAACTTGACCACGCATATAAATGCTTACGACAGCTGAAGAGAGTGTAGAGGGTGTGAGGTTGCGAGGGTGTAGGTCTTGCGAGGCTCCAGAGAGGCTTCCGTACAAGTGACTAACAGTGATACTGTAACAAGGAAGCAATAAGGTTGAAAATAAATCTAGTACTGAGTTTGAAACGTACTGATGGAAGGTCCAATGCATTACATGATCCTATAAGGCCAGTGAGGTACAACATTGTAGTGGTGCGTGCGCACCAAGTCCCCAACCCCGCTAAAATTCTGATCCTTTTCGCATTGTGGCCTGTCTACTTCAATCGCTCCATTATCTCACATTCTCTATCGATCTTCCCTCCCTCAGTCTATTTCCTGTACTGGCTCTGCTCCTGTATCGTTCATTCATACTTAATGTATAATTGTGTTAGGGAAAGCTTTGTACTAGTAAGATGCCCCTGCGAAATGTGAAGGAAAATATATCCATGTCTCAGTGATTTTAATTGATTGTGACACCATCAAACATTACAGAGTGCACCTTAGTACATGGGGAATGGCACTTGCCACATGACCGTCAACATGGAACTTTGGCGCAGAACACAATCATGAACAGAACCTCAACGCAGTCTCAAACACAGCAGGATGGCACTCAGGATGATACAATGAATCATAATAGAGTAGAAAGTCAGTGGGAGAATACAGAATATCGAGAGGTGGACAATCATTGATATCAAGTGCATGTGTATTGAGCAAAGGTATAAGAACACAGTCATAGTAAGGAGAAGACGAGGAATACCTCCACAAGCTGTCAGAAACATGCACAACTCAGACACGAGCTGTATCCCCACTTACCATGAGAGTGGGAGCAACACACAATGTGAGTATGAGAATCACCATGATAGGGATTCATGGAAGTGCGCTGCGAGGGCAAGGCGACTGTGTTGGGAACTAGGAAAGATGTAAGCATCATTTGAACTGCTCAGATAAGAGTACATACTTATTAAGTAGATATGAAGCTCCTTTGCGAGATGACCGCACATCCCAGAATTCCGAGCTAAAAGAATTAAAACCGCAACCATCAGCACTAAAGCGAAACTCAAACAAATGCTTACAAAAGGCTGAAGAGGGTGTAGAGGGTGCGAGGGTGTAGCTCTTGCGAGGCTCCTAATAGGGTTCCATACAAGTGAACTAATGATACTGTAATGAGGAAGCAACGAAGCAGAAAATTAAGATTGAAACATACTGATGCCAATGCGAACTTCCAAGCACGTAAAAGGTAGATGAGAATAATAGCGGTGTTGAGGCAGGAGACTGGAAAGGGATGAACATTTCATAACATGACCAAGACCCGATCAAAGCACATAGAGAGATGGGAACACATTTGAATTTGACAAGAGCCCTCCTCCACTAACATGGGGGTCGGGGATGTTTTACTCTGGGAAATGAACATCTAGGTCTAGTCTATGTAGAATACTCTGTGTCCGGTCTTGGTCCTGTCTGACGGTGTGCCAGCCACCTGGCCAGATTAAAGCGGAGTTTGATTCCCAATCGTTCATAACAGTGCTTACGCAGACTAGACCCTTACATTCACTGAACGCCTATATGCACGACTAAAAAGGAAATCGACCGCCACTTGCAAGAAGTCCTTCCCCATCGCTATTGCTTACAACCTCTGCTATCAACTAAACCCTCCGCTCTATATCTATGAAATGCTCACTAAGTCTATCCCAACCTCTGGCTACTTTGAGCACGTTTCAATCTACTGCTAAGGTGCGTTTTCCCATCGCTATCGATTGCACATACTAAATCTTCTGTGATATATCAATGAAGAGTTCATTTTTCTGGTTGCTCGCTTTCTTGTCGATGGATTTCGCAAGGCTTGACTACGAACTCAACCGCATTGCATCTCGGCACAAGTTGCCCATGCAGAAGGTGTTGGAGGAGTGGCTGGAGAGGCAGGAGAGCAGTGATCCTGAGAGTTGGAGGCAGTTGGATGGGATACCCTGCATCATGGGTGGTTTGACCGCACTGTGCGGTATGTTCTATTATCAAGCCTTCTGGAGAATTTCTGAAAATTTCACAGGCAGACTCGATGGGCAAGGGGGAAACTTTCCTTGGAAGACCCTGCCCACCCTTCTGGAGAAACATGGCTTCGTCCTCCACAACTATCCTGAAAACACTCTCATGCCTGGTGAGAGACACAACACGCTCAGAAAGAGCAAGGGGATCCATGACTTAACTCTTTGCGAACGTGGTGTACTTGCGGATGCCCTTAAAGATGATGTGCTGACCCTCCAACGCCTCACCACCAATGATGCCTGCTGAAGACTTTTGGCCTCCCGCGACCCTGTCATCTACTGCGAAGCTCCTGGACCTGATTCACGCTGCACACATGGACGTTGTCAGTTCGCTGATTCTCACATCGATTGGAACGGACATCGTCGTCTCAGGCTACACAACACTTCTCCTGCGCCTTCTCGTCCCCATCCTCGTCCTGGTCCTTCTCGTCATCTTATCACACTGCACGAGACTTCTCCTGTGCCTTATAATCCCGTCCCTTCTCGTCGTCGCAAACTCCACATGTTCGTGGAGGTTCCTCTCCCTCCACCCTCCTGGAGGTTGCTTGCCGCACAGCAAGCTGCCGCAGCAGACGATATGATGCAGCAACCTTCCTCACCCGTTTCTGTGAGTAGAGCTGACACCAGGGAGCTCATTCCGGCCATAGTCTGCCTTACTCAGAATTCAACAATGACAGATGGCGCTGTCGATGAATTCGATGGGCTTGTTGGGTCGCAAGAGAATTAAGTAGTCAAGTAGGTCTCATATACTGTACTCTAGACAACGAGCAGTGTTTTGTTGGTCATCATAGCATATACATGTCCTCCGCAGCAAATAATACTTCTTGATTAAATGCAAAATCTGCTGATGTCACGACTATCAAGTTTTTAAGATTAGTGAACCAATGAGATTGAAGATACCAATAGTACTTATGTTCAAAGACATATGTGCACGCAATGATGGCTGATTAAGCTGTCTGACTTGGCTTTGTTGACTCTAATGAGATGCCCCATCATGCTAATACCATATTTTCAACAAGAACATTGTCAATGGTAGCCATATTGCATCTCGACCAGTAAGTAGGCAGTATAGCAGTGTGATCTTTACATCAACTTTGGTTGACTTTGACAATTGCCAAACTCACTCTAACCATGGGCCGACGAGCAAAGTATTTAACATTAGAAGACAAAATGGCGGCTGCTTGTCGACACACATCTGCATATTTACATTCAAAACAGTGAGGATGTTTCTGCACATTGTCATTTCAACATTATCGATACATTTTTACAGAGGTAAAATTGTGCAACAAGCTCAGAACGCTCATGCTTATGCCAAACGTCATGGTCAACGTGGGCCTCAAACAACATCCAAGGATCTACTCGGCCCTCTAGCATCCATCTCACATTTCACCACTCTTCCTCTTCCTGATTCCTATCTCTTTCAACAATCACTCTCCGGTTCCAACTTGATTGACGATTCAGATATCTCCCAGTGGAATAAATCCCCGCCTTACGATTATCCACCTCCACCCGACTCACCAGAAGAAGAGCGCTTCACACAGAATCTATTTGATGTCATGCATGGACACCTTTTGCGTTTGGAAAGGGACTCTCGCACTCGTCATGCAGCTAGATATGATGCAGGAGAAATAGCAGAGGTTTTGAAGGAGCTTCAAGATATGCAGAGGAGGCTGATAGGAGGCTGGGATGAGCTGGATAGTCGTGTTACTGACATGCAGGCTTGTGCGAGACACAAGCTTATGGCTCAATGCTACTGCCAGGGGGTAGCGCAAAGGATCTTGACTTATCAAAAGGAGGTGGATTTACTAGTTGCCAAACGGAATCCATACTGTAGTTTATGATACTTGCCAATGTTCTACCCTACTCTGGATTCATAACAGTAATTCGGCAATGAAAGAACCATAGTCCAAAGATAATGCCAGAGGTTGTCCATGTCTTGCTCCCGCATTCCTGTAATGTGTCTGCCCCATACGACCGATAATTGTAGCTAAAACCCATAAACCGCAGTCAAAATTGTTATTCTGGAGACATTCGACCTAGAAAAATAGTTGTAGTTAGGAACTTTATCAAGATGGAGCGTGAAACTCACATTCAGAGGTTGAGCAACCCATCCTTCAAGGTCGATTGTAACACGATGTTCATGTTGGCACACAATAAGAAGGAACCGAGCAATCAGTCTTATTATATCCTGCACAATTCAATCAACTGAAAAGAAATGCTTGGAATTAAACTCACTTTAACGTCATTTTCCCAAGGCCGCCTATCACCCAGACTATCGAAAAGAAAAAGGTTCTTATCAGACAGCCAAATGATGCATAATACCCAGTGCCCAATGCCCAATGGCCGATGAATTGGAAGCACCCAAATGTCCTTTTCCCAATAATGAATCCATGACGTGTTGCGCCAGATAACATCATCCGGTGCATTGTAGCAAATGCGGGGAAGATCGTGAGTTGAGAGCATCGCACATTGTACGCCAGATGCGTCAAGCTGAGAGTGCCACAAAAGTATGGCACAACTGTTGATGCACACGTCATTTAGGCGTGCTGTGGGAGAACTAAGGAAACTAATGTCCCTGGGGTCAAATATCTGACTTGGGATTCCATCGTTTGAGCTCGGTCGTATTCGAGCAACGATTTTGCCAGGTATGAGATTGCCTCGCTCAAGTGGGGGAATGTGTGATGGAGGGCTGAAATCATCAACAAGAAGGTTCTAATATGATACATCAGCGCAACAGTCCCAACAATGAATTTTAATGTACCTCAGGAAGCTTCCAACAAATTATGGCATTGGTTTCGCGCCCATAAGCTGTTGAGTCATCATCCTCTAACTCCAGTGCGCTCATCTGACCCTCCAGAACATCAGCAACTGCTGCTTGTTCAGAATTGATTGCTGGAGAATGGCCAGGGTCGATAGAGAGCTCATCTTCACCCTCATAATCTGGCACAGCAAGTGTGCTAGCATTGATCGTGTGACGTGATGCATTTAGTGGGGCTCCCGAGAGGGTCGCAGCAATGTCCAGTGATTTGTTGACTTGGCTAGCAAAGTGTACCGAAGTAGCTAATGAGTTCGACCATCAAATTTGAAGTCTGAGGAAATTGTCACGCCATTGCTGTAATGGAACAGCAAACAGTTCACCTAAAATTAAATTAAACGTTAGCAGAAGGTGATATCATAATAATGAAATTAACCCCCTTTCTGGTAAGCAAAGAGCAAGTTCGAGCGCTGCAAACTCATCACCAAAGAAACGACAAAGGTTATCAGCTTCGATGCTGAGCCGAATCTGCTCCTCCTCGCATCGATCTCGCTTCAGAAGCGCACGTATGCCATCCCTCACATGCGAGTCTTCCAACCATCGTGGAACTTCCCCAATGGATGGCGTAATCCAGACATCTTCCATCAATCTTGAATCACTACATAGTTCGGTTAGTTTCATGGGAAGAGGGGCGGGGAGTGGAATCCTCCAAGTTGGATTGTAAAGATACTCCAGTCGTTCGCAGTAAGAGTTGAATTTGCGGATAGCGGTCATGAGGGTAGGTTGACGTTTTGCGATGGCTTTGCGGGTATGTTGATGTAGCTTAGTGCCTGCAGGAAATTGAGAAAAAGATACACAAATAAGAATGATTGAAATACCTAAAGCTTGCTGTGCGCCACCAACAGCACGATCAAGCTTGTCCCACTCAAAAAAACTAGCGATAGCACATTTGCGAACATTAATTTTGAGATCCCGTGCCATCAAGAGAGTGCGAATGAAATCAAGATTAACCCCTTGAAGTTCAGGGAACCTCTGGTGAACATTGAGAGATGAATAAAGAGCTTCGACTTTATTCATTAGCTGGTCATGTCCCCTCTCGAGGCTCTCTAGGGCCTCTAATGTGTCGCCAGAGGGTGAGTCTTTCTCGAGCATTGCTCGTGTAGTTTGTAGGGCCCTATCAGATGCATCTAGGTCAGCCTGGAGAACCAATACTGTGTCCAGTTCTTTCTTCAGGCGAGTGGGAGCATCTAGCAATATCACATATCAACATCAACAAGGCTCTAGTGAATTGAACTCACGAGTGCGGATAGATAATTGGGAATGGCGTTGGTGGGACCACTCAGTTTTCAATTCATTGACAGGGATCCCATATTGTTCTAGCAGATCTTGTGCTGCTGAACCTTGCTCCCCGATTCTCCATCTGAGGCGGTGTTTAATCCAATCACCAAGGTCATCTCGCATATCAGAACCTATAGCTGCTGCTTGTCGATCAATAAGCCACAGGCGGTGCTGGTGCTAAAAAGTCTAGAGTGAATGAGGACATAATTAAATTAATGTGAGACCTACAGAAGACGTCCTCTCAACACCAATCAGTCGAACAAAACAGGACCAAAGTCATTCAGTCCCTTCCCCATCGGACAGGCCAAGCCCTAGGCACATCCGCAGATTATAAACAAGCTGACAAGCCCACTCGTGACCATATGCATGCATCGCAGTAGTCGCAAAACAGAGTCGTGAGGTGATAGTCTCAGGAAGAATGTCGTACTAGAGAGGTGTAAGTAAGTAATTAAAATGCAGGTTGCAGCGTACCTTTGTGAGCAACCGGGCCAGAACACAACCAACATCATAAAGAGCAACAACCGTAGCCTCAGGTGGGAGCAATGAAAACAAGTGCTGAAGGAGGGCTACAGAATATTTTTGTTGTTCTCCTGGTGAATCAATATTAGCAAAGAACACCGGGATACCATGGCGACAGATCAGAGCCATGATCCCTGTGTCATCAAAATTGTCCATGGCGGCTTTCTGCTTTTTCCCATCAGCAGCCTCGTAAGCAGTTTCACATTGATCAACAGCTTTGTCAGGAACAATGGGAGTATGCGGCTTTGGAGGCTGCTTACGTTGAGCGTCTATCCGGCGGCCAATGTCGTCAACAAAGTGTTTGGGGACAAAGTATATAGGATCATAAAATGGTGGACAATCACCAGCAGCACAGTGTCTTCTTAGATAGATGATCTATAGATAAACACCTATAAAACAAATATCTCCACGGTCAGCGATTCAGACAAATACCAATGACTGATAACGTGGTCGTTCGTGGGTGGCTAGTTGTATACTACCCAAGGTATGTTCAGCTGAGGATACTTCTGCAAGGTCAGTAACAATCCAATCTTTGGACTTGACAGGAAAACAAACAAACAATGGTCAGCCCGACAGTATGGCAATGACCAAAAGAATATACGGGTTTCTTCCTCAAGTTCCCTTTCAACAACAGTGCCTCGTGCCAACTATACTCCAAAAGAAATGGTGCAGAATTACAATGATAAACCCCCTCAGCACAAAACAGGTAGAATCAAAGGTCAAGACTAGTCAAATGCTTTATTGTAGAACTCTTAGCTCAATATTGAACCTGCTGTCAAGGAACTCTTCTTTGAGTATTCAAACAGACTCAGGAACGGACGTCCTTGGGTTTACTACCAAGTCCCCTCTTCAATGGCTAAAGCCTAGCAGGCACAGAATATCTTGGCTCAGTATCGCTACTCAGATGAGTGAGGTCAAGCTTCACTATCAATTCCTAAAGCCTCCCCACTATGCTACTACTGAGTCTTAGGTGGACGTAGAGACAACACGAATATTTTGGATCAGTATTTTTGGACAAAGAACACCAAAGGTCAGTGAAAGTAAAAGAAAAGAAAAAGAAAAGATAGAAATCAGAATAAAAGTGTGGCTGTACCTTGCTTGCTGGTTGTTGCACACAGTGAGCTCACAGCTGGTCGTTCAGTATGATGGGCTTGCAGTATTACTGTCTCTTGAGAGTGTTCCTCTCAGTCTTAAAACAGTTCTTGACACTGGTACTGACACTTATCACACCTTACTTCACAACTTAGTGTTAGTTGGGCTGAGAAACACCCTACTACCTGCTGGTATCTGCTTCTTTTATTTCAAAAACTGAGGTCATTATATACACAATAAATGTGGCTGTGCTACTAGTGTATTCAAGAGTCATCAAGAGTCATAATGAGTCATATGTGCAAGGTGAGTCATAGTGAGTCATAGTAAGTATCTATAGTGAGTCATATATTCAGAGGGAGTCATAGTGAGTCATTGGGTATTTGCTAAGTCATGTGACCTGTCCAACCCCTGATGACAAATCCAGAAGGAGAGTAAGAAGTGTCACATGATATGAATCCTGTGTGTGGCTGTCTTTGCTTTGCTTTGTTTGAAGGGTGAGAATGACGCAAGCCTAGTATTTAGGGGTTTACTAATGTTTTTCCAGGACAACATATGTGGGAAATATTTTTCACAGTCACCTGACATGTGTGGGATTTTGTCTGGGTCATCACCATGGCTGACTAAGCAAAACTCATCGCAGAATTAAATGTACTAAAATATTCAGGCTGCTGGCATATAGACTTGAAAAAATAAAAATAAAAGCAAAAAATATTCCCTTAGCCTCAGTCCAACTTCAGATAAAAGGGAAAAGGGTTTCATAGTGGTATTTCAGGGTATATGACTCATGAGAGAGTATTGGTCGTCCATGCACCGAACCGGTTTGGTGCAGGTCAACGGCAGTGACGGTGATGGAAATTCCCATCCATCGCAATATGTATATCAACCCCTTCATTGGTGGGCCTACCCATGTAGTACGCCACAAAGCAGGCAGGACATCGCTGGACCAGAAGTTGTGCACATCGACTTGGATACAAGGTGGATGGAGGGAGATTGTTTTCGTGCAAGGAGGTTTGAAAGTCGGCCACACAATTGCGACTTTGTTGAACAATTGTTTCCAGTTGTCGTTCGACTTGAATTTGCAAAATATCAAACCACTGGACAGCATAGCCAAGGCCCCAACAAAATGGATCTTGGATAAGTTGACCCTTCAAAAGCTTGTTAGTAGTAATTCGAGTACGCAATTGAACCTTACCTCTGTATCGGTCATGTGGAAGCCTCACCGAGAGTAGTGACTTTTTAGGGCAGAAGCAAGAGCATTAATCGCATCACATGAGCATTCAAACAGCGCACAGTAGAATGCAAGCAAATCAACGGACACAGCCATCCGAGGCTGTGAAGGTGCAGTCAGGAATAGACCATGGTGTACAAGCACCTGCGGGAGAGTCGAGCATTTGCAACTTAGTACATCTATTGACGCAAATCCTAAACAAGTATCAATGCAAGCATTCTGTGATAGAGAAAGATACACTTACGGTCAAAAAACAAGCAAATCAAAGTTGTTCACTTCAATGTACATGAAGGCATCCCAGCACATGCAGATATGACCGGAAGGATGTTTTCTAGGGCTTTTCCCTGCGTTCGTCCAAAATAGCAGAGTAGAGGAGTGATGAGAGCTGGGATGAGTGTACTCCAGTTACTATACAATGAAGTGGTCGATCTATCTGGTACAATGCATTGTTTGACTGGCGTGTCAATGGCAGGAATATTGAGGGATGGCCCCTCCACTGTATCCACATCATTAAAGGAAAGTGCCATAGCATCATCAGTGCATTGAATGTGCTCAGTGGTGTCGTCGTGTGATGCTTGAGGAGAAGTCACCTGCAAATTTGGTTCTTTACATTGTGGCTTCATAAGTTCCTCCATTTCAGCTAAAAGTCGGTGGTGTTTCGCCCTTGCGCCCGGTAACTCGACAAAAGTTTGCATTTTGCATTTGTCTCGAGCTTTTCTAGGGCTGACAAAGTGGGTTCCCAGTCCAGAAGACGTGAGTTGAGCTTTGCGAGTAGGACGGAGTGTTGAGGACGACGACATAATGAAAGGAAGAACAGAAAGACATACCAGTATTAAGTGAATCTTCCCAGCCAAGTCAATGAGAGGGAATGTGCTGGAGGCCCACGAGGGGATGTAATCGAGATGCTGAGAGGTGCGCAACGAGGTGCTGAGAGGTGCTGAGAGGTGCACGACAAGGTACTGAGAGGTGCGCTGAGGTTCTGAGAGGTGTGTGACGAGGTGCTGAGAGGCGCGCTGAGAGGTGCGCTGAGGTACTGAGAGGTGCGCGACAAGGTGCTGAGAGGTGCGCTGAGGTGCTGAGAGGTGCGTGACCAGGTGCTGAGAGGTGCGTGACCAGGTGCTGAGAGGTGCACTGAGGTGCTGAGAGGTGCGTGACCAGGTGCTGAGAGGTGCGCTGAGGTGCTGAGAGGTGCGTGACCAGGTGCTGAGAGGCGCGCTGAGAGGTGCTGAGAGGTGCGTGACAAGGTGCTGAGAGGCGCGCTGAGAGGTGTGTGATGAGGTGCTGAGAGGTGCGTGACGAGGTGCTGAGAGGCGCTGAGAGGTGCTGAGAGGCACGTGACGAGGTGCTGAGAGGCGCTGAGAGGTGCTGAGAGGCACGTGACGAGGTGCTGAGAGGTGCGCAAAGAGGTGCTGAGAGGCACTGGGAGGTGCTGGACGAGGTGCTGAGAGGTGCGCAAAGAGGTGCTGAGAGGTGTGCAACAAGGTGGCAAGGAGAGGGAGGGCAACGATATGCGCAGGAGAAGAGCAACGAGGTGCCAAGTGGAGGGTAATGATGTGCGCAGGAAAACAATGAAGTGCCTAGAGATCAGGAGGGACAAGGTAGACATGAGATAGGTTGAGTATGAGCTAGAGGAAAACTTCCCACATCTGTAATCATACTCTAGGGTTCGGAATGCAGCGGCTTGCATTCCGAACCCTAATATATGGGTCTAAATTGATGTTCCATTGCAGAGTTGAGATTTTTTGTCCAAAGGTTTTTGAACTAAAACTGTTTAAGTGTCATGACAGTGCCACACAAGCACACTGTGACATACATTGTGAAAACCAAATGACGGACAGCGTAGATGAGAGCCTAAGAGTTCAGATGCTGGACAAAGTATAGCACTTTTAGAGTTCATGTAGGCCTGCAGGGATGTGCTGGAGGCTCGCGAGGGAATGTGAGAGTACAAAATATGATTGGATGGTGGATAAAGTGGTGCTAGAGCCCTATTGTGAGGGTTCATGGAGGCACGCAGGGAGGTGCTGGAGGCCCGGGAAGGAATACGAGAGCAAGAACTATAATTAGATGGCGGGTGGGTGAGTCTCAGAGACTAATTTCCCACAACATAGAAACCGGGTCTCTTAGACCCTTTATAGGCACCGAGAAGCGCTGCCTGAGGTGGAGTCGCGCGAAGCTACAGATTATATATTATGGTATTGAGTCCGGAATATCAAAGATGAAAAAGGGAAATGGCCAGAACTATGACGACAATGTGGAGCGATGACGACGTTGGATTCAATACCCACCGCTATCATCATTAATGCTGTGATTGTTATCAAGTCTAATATGATACGGGAATATGTTCATCCGTTCACTGATGCGCCCTACTGTTTGCGTAACTACTGCGGAGGGATAGTATATAAAATGTGGGCAACTGGGCCTCTTCTTATTCGTCCATCCGGCGTGCACGAGCAAATTGCACAGTTCATTCCTAATTGATCACCTGTACAGATGACGAACACCAGAGTCATGGTAGTGGGTGCTGGCATCGCTGGCCCCATTCTTGCAATCTTCTTGAAGACTAGAGGCTATGACCCCATCATGTACGAAAGACTCCCGAGTCCAGGAGAGGGTGGACTCAGCTTCGTGTGAGTACGCATGCCTCTTCCTCGTGATTGCTGTACGGAACAACCTACGCAGGCTGCAACCCAACGGTCTCCGTGTCCTATCACTCATCCCCGGCCTGGTTGAACAGATCCCCGGCTATTCTCCAGATAGGATGGTTCACTGCTCCTCCTTGGACGGAAAGGAGGACATTCTCACTGAGGCTGATATTTCGCCAGATGCAGCGCGAGAACAATTTGGCTTCCCCTTCATCGCAGTCCGGCGTGCAGAGTTTCAACGGTTTTTGATCGACACGGCTGAGAAGCACGGTATCGAGATCAAATGGGGTCACCAGGCAATTGAATATGAGCAAAGCGAGGATGCAGTAGAAGTCACATTCGCAAATGGCGTCAAGGACACAGCAAGCTTTGTCGTGGGCTGCGATGGGCTGCATAGCAATACCCGAATTGCACTCTTTGGGAAAGAGAAGGCAAACTTCACTGGATTGGTGCAGGTGCGCTCGTTTTGGTGACGGTACTGAGGTGTAGGTTGATATGAATGTGATTCGCAGTTCGGTGGACTATCTCCAACACCACCTGCTTTCCCGGGAAAGTTTGCGTTGGTGAATAATTATGGGAATGGTCGCCATATGGTTTCGTACCCTATTGCGGAGGACAAGTATGCATGGGCGTAAGTGTTATCTCAATTACTGTCCGTGAGTCTGATTATCCTGGGATTCAGGATCACTTCTCGGCAAGCTGAGGCAAAGGAGGATTGGAAGACACAACACGTGGAACAACAGGACGAAATCCGAAGAGGACCCCTCTCTGATTGGGGGTTCGGTGCCGGAGATTTGGTAAGGACCGGCCAAAATATCATAAAGGTTGGTTCACTCTCGCGACAAGCCTTGAGTTCTCTGAAATGAATGGCTTGCTGGCAGTATGGTCTCTACGACCGACCTGAGCTCAAGTCGTGGTTCAAGGGAAGAATCGTTCTTTTGGGTGATGCAGCTCACCCCACGAGTCCGGTATGTAATTTTGTCATCGAGTTCCATGGCGCTCATCGATATCATCATACCTAGCATCTGGGACAAGGTGCCAATCAAGCGTTTGAAGACATTTACCATTTAATGCGGCTTTTGAAAAAATACAACCCTTCTACTGGCCAGCCTTCGACAGAGTTGTTGTCGCAAGTCTTCACAGATTATCAGGATCTTCGGCTACCGCGTACATCCGAGTTGGTAAGGGGGGCTAGACAGCAAGGGGAGATTCGGGTTGTTGAAGGGATTGAAGCATGTAGGGTGAGGAATGAAAAAATACGGATAGGGTCCCGTGATGATGCGGCGAGGAAGGCAATGAATGACTTGTTATCTGGACCGTTTAAGGACAGTGAAGTGTAGTAGCCTTGTCCTACGTAGTACATAATTCGAACGGGATTTGCCGCATAACCTGTTGATTATCCCAATTCGTGTCAGGAGCAACAACACAAGCGTGTCCCGTGATTCCTGCATATTTCCACAACGTTGTAACCATGCATGACCCATTCGAAGTGAGAATGCAGTTCCTCGGGCTCATTCGCAAGCTGAACGCGTAAGTCATCGAATCCTGTCCGTCCGTCACTCGCTCATATACATCTTACTACCACAACTTATGTCTGCTCGACGTCAATTCAATGCATGTGATGGATTTGCATCAATCATGGCGAGCAGCTCACAACAATCGATACAGAAAGTCGTTGCATTTGCGTTGAAGTACTTTTCGAGATGCGGGGAGGATCTGTGGGAGTGCATTGTTGAAGAGTGTCAGAAGGTAACTGTCGTTTTTGATATTATTTCCCCGTCGATGCAGCATACCTCTTTTGCCCATTGTCCCTTTGTTGTGAAATAATATCTTACGCCAAGTACAGGGTTCCATCAATCACCGCATAAATATTCTTTACTTTCTTGACTCCCTTTGCGAAACATCGCTACTAGCGAAGGCGCATCAACTCCCAGAACAGTCGTCTTCATCGTGAGTTTTATCACGCCTGGTAACTTGACCCTGAATGATGGCACTGTACTAGAAATAAGCAAGTCAACAACGCGTTGTATGTCGACTACGTCTCTCGGGATCTGACGCAGATTGTGGAATGCGTTGTACCTGTGGGTAGGCAAGGGCTACCTAATCTACCGAGTACAAAACAGGTGTGTCTATACTAGTCTCTGCATTGGTTCTTGCTTAATCTACAAACTTACAGATCTTAGAAAACTGGCGCACGAAACGAATAATAGAGCCACAAAAAGTTGACGAAGTCCTCTCTTTGCTCTCTTCTAGAGACTCAGCACCAGATACGAACTCGACATCTGTGGCACCTTCAGCAGCAAAATCAGAGCCCCATCTCTCTCGCGGCGAAATATTCAAGCGCATCGAAGAGGACCGAGAGCGACATAAACGCCTTCGAGAACGACGGTGGGTTCAGGCGCAGCCTCACTCTGGTTCTGCAGTCCCATCTTATTCGATGTTCACGCTTGCGAGTTTCTTGCCACTGAGCGACACAGAAAACGCCGAGCTCGCGCTGGATATAGAATTTGAAAATGAGTGGGAGGCAACGAGCGATTGGAATGAGGACGACGTGGAAGCGACTGCAGAGGAGAGGGAGCTTTGTCATCCACATTTGAAACGGAAGGGATTTACGAATGACGAAGACGAAGGCGAGCAAGAGATGGATATAGATCTGTCGTGATATAGTACTGTGCTGCGCAGTGCAGAACGTGAGTGATGTTTCTAGATTCTGACACTAGATTCTGAAACATCACTCCCGTTGTGTCGTTATGGTCAGTTACGCGTAGTTGTTGTCAGATGAGTTCACAGCGATTGATATGCACAATCAGTGTCATGTATAGCTGGAATAATGAGCGTCAATGCGTTTCGAAGATGCTGGATGAAGAAACGGCACGTGCCATGGGCGCTACTCAAGTGTCAAGTCTCCTGTCTTGAAGGATTTAGCCGAGTATCCTTCTTCCCTCTCTTCAACTAGTCGGGGCCTGTGCGGCGGTGGCCCAGGACCTAGGCTGTGAATTTATCTAGATCATCCAAGCTTGAGGCAAGTTCCCGGGCCGCTATCCATCGATCCATCGATCTATCAATGCTGTGGTTGTGCTGACATTCAAATTTTGTGATCATCGACGGTGAGTCATGATATATCATGATAAGTACAAAGTATATCCATTGTGCGTGTCACTTTTAGTTTCTATTCTGTCACTACTCGTTCTTACAAATAGTGAATGGACGGATTCGCCCAAGTTTGAATTCGAGACACTGATAGGCCGGGAGGAGCACTCATTGTCTCGAGATGCTCGAGATGATTGTCATAAACTGTCCAAGGCGAAACGCGTATGAAGAGAATTCTTGTCACAGACGAAATCTACTGATATACCCAACTGTCTGCAGATCAATGTTGCTCCTCTCGTCGGGCCCATTCCACATCACACCCTGCTTAGCATCCAAAGTCTTCCTTCCTCGACGATTGTGGACAGTTTGAATTCCCATCCCTGAACACGCCGCTTTCCTGATGACCATCCAATGTGTCAAACGAAAACGATGAGCTGCTCAGTATCCAGAAATTACGTACCGTATACTCGCAAGTCACCTCGTCGCCCTTCTTATCCAGGTAGCTACCGGACCATCAGTCACTTCTCTCGATGAAGATATGAGCGTGACTTACTTGCAAACTACGTTCCCGTTGTTCATCTTCCACAAGCTGGTGACTAGTTCGTAGGTCACACTGTCGACATCCAACGTTTCTTGGCATGTTGCGCATGCAGCGTTGGCGCCCACGAGGAAGGCGAGCAGAGCAAGAATGGTGAAGCGGGAAGTGAACATCATAGAGCTTGTTGCAGTGAGCAATGCAAAGCCATAGGGTATGTGCAGGTATTTTATAGGTAGATGCGGCCTTACGATTTGCGAGATTTTCGCTTCGCCTCCGAGGCTGTTACATGTTACTTGCTTCGCGCTTCTACGAACAAAAAAGTTGAGTTGGTGCCCACAAGTCAAAATTTATTCTAAACAAGCTAAAGTGCACTTGGTGTAGCTCAATTGGACTAGTACTATTCGCAGAAGACTTAATTTTCGCTGGTCAGAAATATGATACTTACGATGAGCTTACGGCGTTGGAGCGTTCTTCGGATTCCGCACCACTTGAACTATGACATCATATATGCATTATGGCCGCTGGCTTTGCTACAGTGGAATTTGATGTACTACTAGTACTACCTAGCAGGTTCTAGACTCGCTAAAGCGTTCGGTAAAAAAAATTGGCTGATCGTTCTAGCACAGCTAACGACAATGGAGTCAGCCCAGTTTCTCGTACCCTATGATCCCTACTCGGTTCTTTCGTATGGAAAGCAGGATGGCCGTGCTCGTTTCTTGGCGTCACGCATCCCTATCAGGCAGTAGGACTTCGAACACCTTATGGCCCCGAATGGGTGCCGAGTATTGGTAATAAATAAGTAGTAATCAACGGAGCATTCGAGCAGGTATCATGACTAGGGCTGGCCACCGTAACCGTATACAATTACGACCGTACAAGTTACAGTGGCCTTACGGGTACCACCCGTATCGTACCGTATGACATGCGGCTTGCTCAAAACCCTCGACGGTATGGCACGGGTCACTTTACGGGTATACGGACACTATATGGACATACGGGATATGAAAAAAATCGAGTTGTTTGGATGAGAAGGTCCTACGGGCGTTAGGACGAAGGCACCTCAACCCTAATGACAACAATGTCAATACAAGCAGATTGGCTCACTCGGTCGGTAGCAGGAGGTGTCGCGTTGACACTTTCATCATGCGTCGACATTTTACGCAAGAACGAGACCCATCAAGCCTGTGACAAGAGTCGCTGACCAGCCTCACGCTATGGCAGATGCAATCTTAGATGACGAAGACTCGCTGGAAGTCCCTGGACCCAGGGCCTCCACACAAATTGTTGGACCTCGTACGAGTGAACTCAGATATGTCTACGTGTGTCACTTTTAGTTTTTCTTTCTTTGTTACTGTTCGTTCTCCCAAAAAGTGATGCTCAAGACAAGGGATTGTCACAAATTGGTAAAGGCAACACAGGCACGAAGAGAATTTTGTCGCAGACGAGATCTATTGATATACCCAACTTTCTGCAGACCAATATTCCTCCTCTCGTCGGGCCCATTCCACATCACACGGGTCCTGCTTAGCATCCATAATCATCCTTCCTTGACAATTTTGGACACTTTGAATCTCCATCCTCTAACAAGCCGTTATCCTGATGACCATCCAACGTGTCAAACGAGAACGATGAGCCGCTCAGTATCCAGAAATTACGTACCGCATACTCGCAGGTCACTTCGTCACCTTTCTTATCCGTATAACTGCCAGACCATCAATCACTTTTCTCGATGAAGATGTGAGTGTGGCTTACCTGCACTCTGTGAACCCGTTTTTGGACTTCACATAGCTGCTAACTAGTTTGTAGGTCGCTACACCGTCGACTTCCAACGTTTCTGGACACGTTGCGCATCCCGCGTTGACGCCAGCGAGGAAGGTGAGTAGGGCAAAAATAGTGAAGCGGGAAGTAAACATCTTAGAGCTTGTTGCAGTGAGCAATGCAAACTCATAGCGTGCAGGTATCTTATAGGTAGATACTCGCGATTTTCGCTTCTCCTCGAGCTATTAGCTGTTGCTTCGCTTCTAGCCTTCTGCTAAGATATTCCATTCCATTCAAGAGTCAAAACTTGTTTTGAACAAGCCACCTTTCAAAGATGCACCGCTACCATGTAGCTCAGGTTGGGTTTGGTAAGCGCTCGTCTTGATTTACATTTCCCTTCGGCGGTGTACTATATATGTTCGGAGGAGACAACTCATCAGCAAAACTCATGATTTTTTGCTTGTCCGAAAGAGGTTTGATGCTCATGTGAGCTTACGGTGTTGGTGATCTCAGAGCAACGCGATTGATGGAACAGACTTCGTCGAAGTAGGAATTATAACATATATTACTCGAGCGGAAGCAAAATTATCTCGAGAAAAGACGTCATAAATTCCCAAGATGAGAGGCGAGTGACACGAGAAACGAGAAATGAAGCTAATATATATCTTAGTCTCAGGAAAGAACACGAATTATGTACCTAGTAGAAAACAATATATCTACTGCTTGTTGACAAACGAAAACGACAAAAGGATAACAAGGGCTTAGATCTCAGTCTCGGGGAAGAACTGAGATGTTGGTACTCGTATACCTATTCGAAGTATGCTTGTTAGCTTAGGAACAAACAACATCAAAGAAAAGATATCAATATGCAAGAGCTCGAGCCAACGCCCGTTTGTTCTACACTTGGTTTGCGCTCGCATAGCCTCACTCTCCAGATCTCGGATCGTTTGGACTCTGACATAAATTTGATTATATTCTGACTCACTCGTGTCTTCATATGGCGTACCATCGGTTACGGTCTATTCGTGATCGACCTACATTTCGCGAGTCACAGAGTCAGACGGAGTAATGGTATGTCTTTGGTGATCCTACATCTAGGACAACGAAGTTCAAGCTTGAACCTTGAATTCTCCATACCGGTGGATACCCATTGTTTCGCGTACTCCAAATTGCAGCGACTGCCTTGCATCACATTCTCTGTCGGATGTCAGACCGCGGTGGTCATTCATGATATCTAATGGACGTTTCTCGTTAGTATCGTAATGTGATCAATGACTCCGGTCATTGGTCAAGCGGTCACATCATAATATACTGTTACTCAGAAGATCTGCTGCAAGACATAATACATCAGCAATGCGATAACCAAAGTTTACAAGCTGGTGAACAGAAAGAAGCAGATGGATATTATCGTGACCCACTGGCATTACGCAATAATTCCCATTCTCCAATTTTGTTCCACCGTCGTCATGAACTACGTTACAGCAGACAGCATCGTCAGCATGTATCATGTATGGATTTGCGACAGAAAGTCTGAGAGTTTCGTACATTCGCGCTAGAGTAGGGGACCCCAGGGGTAGCAGCGGAGCAGCAGCCGAGGAGCACCGTAGATTAGTCAGTCACTCAGTGTCCTTCGGGCTTTGTCGTAGCGTAGGGCTCTCACCACTTCTAGCCTTGCTCGCGATATGCAGGCACGCAGTCGCGAATACACCGCTCCAGCGCCTTTACATGGAAACCCGCGCACCATCGAGGCACTGACGAAGTACACAGAGCGTGGATTCAAATTGTATGCGGAGCCTTGCCAGTTGGGAGAGCACTTGCTACACGAACCACACGAGGTAAACATGGATAGCGGACATTATGACAATAGGAATGGCGAGGATAGCTTGCACAGACATGCCAGTCGTGGTATTGCCAGTGGGTCACGGATGCGCCGCGGGAAGCCGGAAGTAACCAAACATCGAACTACATTTTGGTCGCAGCATGATGCGAAACGAAGAGAACGATATCATAACAGTAATATCGAGAAGCCACACTTCCACCAACTTGCAAAGCAGAAGGTAGGCCTGTTCTTAGGTGTGCGTCTGGGTGTAAGCTGTGAGTTCATGAAGCCATAAATCTACTGGAGCTATCATTACGTAAAACAACACGTTGATTGAAAGGTTCTGCCACCGAGAAAGACCGTCCGTATTATCTACAGACCTTCAATTTGATCACTCCTCCCGTACAGTTATCTTTTCTGTTACTCATAAGCATCGCACAAGCGAATACTCCATGCATGCCTGCCTGCTCATTCCAGAGATCGTAAAACTCATTTTCACCAACTTTCATGTTTACGACACCGATGAGTATTCAGTAAATTTTGTAGATCTCTACTCCAGACTAGCCACGCAACGTTATGTAGCTGGGCGACATTCTCTAGCCGCTCTCTCTCGGGTCTGCCGTTCCTTCAAAGATATAGCTTTGGATGCGTTATGGGTCAAGCTGGATAGTCTGGAACCTCTTTTCGCTTGTCTCCCACGAGATTTATGGACCATGACTGATGATCGGAAGCTTGTATGTACTGTACGCCACGATCCTCACCCATCATGCTAACTTCTTTCATGGTGTCACTGTTAGCTCATACAGAGACCTGTAACCGAAGCAGATTGGTCGGTCTTCGAGCAATATGCATCTCGGGTGCGGATTTTGGGTCACGCAGATTTTGATCTTTTCGGAGGCATAGACGCGGAGTTTGTCTACGCCATGATAGGTTTTTGTTCACAGTCCCTCCTGGTGCCCAACCTTCGAACACTCTGCTGCAAAGGATATCGATATCCTGATGTTTTCCATTCGTATATGCGTTACCTCCTGGGTCCCAACCTCATTTATCTGTTTGTGGTTTCCCCAACGGAGGGTTTTTTGTCCAGCGCCATGCCTTCAGTGTTATCAGATCTCGACAGGTATTCACCGCAATTAGAAGTCATCGAGTTCCTCGGACCACATCTAATGTGCCCTCGAGTCAGTGAGCTTGCTCTCTGTGGGCTAACGCACCTGCGGAAGGCAAATCTCATCTTTTCAAGCCAGGAAGATCTGTCCTGGATATCTCGTATCGTTGGTCTTCAAGAGTTGAAGATCGTCCTCGCTGGAATCTTCCCTCCCCTCAGATCTCAGTTTCGTACCTCTTACCTGGAAAAATTAGTCATCCATTCATTTGACTTGACCACGAGTGGAAGTTCAGTAGCAGGGTGGGTTGTTCCATGCAGACAGCTGCAGCTCATTCCCACTTTTACTGAATCCGCGGTTGCCGTCGAACGTGCTCTGCGCATGTTGGACCAACGTCTACTTTTTAACGTTCTGGAGCATATCCTACTAGACGCACTGGTATTCGGGCCTAATCGTGATCATATCGACAATGCATTCACCCTACAAACATTCACTCCCCTTATGCGCTTCTCCAGTCTGAAAGAGGTCGACCTTTCGACATTTTGTATGTCATTGCTTGATGACGATGATCTCGGTTCCATCGTCAAGTCCTGGCCACACCTCGAGTGCCTTTATCTCGGGACGAAATGTTTCTGGCAGATGCCACCCAAAATAACCTTTCGGGGTCTTGTGACCTTACTTGCCACCTGCCCCGATCTCAGAAACCTCGGTTTGATATTCGACACTACCAAGGTAGATTCGCCTACAGCTGAGACATTAGGTCGTGGGGTCTCTAACACAAATATCACCCACTTTCATGTTGGGTGCTCTCCGATTGAACAACCACTGCAGGTTGCGGTCTCGCTTTCGGCGGTTTTGCCGTGCTTGGGAGAATTTATTGTCGAGTCCTGGCTAGTCAAGCCTGGGGGTCAGGACGGTCCTGACCGACAGGCACGAAATGCCAAGTGGGGAGAGGTATTGAAGCATATTGGCCATACTTTAATCAAGCAAGAGAGTAACGCTACAGTGAAGACCAGGGATGTGACGAGCTGGCTCACGCGAAAAGTAGCTCGTCGCGAGCGATTGTTGAGATGTTAAACGTGGTTTTCAATAGTAGTTTCTACTGTGATCACTGTACACCATGGTCCAGACCACCAATATCCATAGTGATGCCATATGGCTCCATGTAGTTTGCAAGATACTTCTTGTTTCATTGAAAACGTAGAACCTGGGTCGACGGGCGCGTGAGGTGTTGGTAACTTGCACCAAACTTTGAACTGGATATGGTGGAGAACAAGAAGCACAATAATGCAATCGACAACCCGCTAATAATAACATTACATACATATGCTGGACAACCACAAGGTTTTTGGAAGAGGCTATGAGAAAACAACAGTATCAATAAGGAATAGGCGCCAATAGAAATCACGACGTCACTGGAAAAAAAGGATAATATAAGCATAAGTGATCAAAGAAACACGAACGCCAGGTACTTACTATAACTAGCGGGATCAATATGATCAGGCAGCTCGGGCACGGCGACCTCAAACCGTAGCTGGATGGCAGACATGACTTGTTGGTCAGCCTCACTGGATTGGAAGGTGATAGCTAGACCCTTCGTTCCAAAACGACCTGCACGGCCGACACGGTGAAGATAACTGTCGGCGTCTGGTGGGCAGTCGTAGTTGATCACGATATTGACACGTTCGACATCGATGCCACGACCAAAGATATCGGTTGCAACGAGGATACGCTTTTCGAAGGCCTTGAAGGCAGTGTAACGATTTATACTAAAACAGGCATTTAGTACAGAACGCCCAAAAGCCATTAGCGATTACTCACCGCTCCTCTTGAGCCAAGCCTGAATGGATGCTGATACTGGGGAAATTACATGAAACTAGGAGCTTGTCCAGCTCGACGGCTCTTGCAACAGATTTGACGAAGATGACGACCTGAAAATTGTTGATATACATGTCTTGTTAGGGAAGACGGATCGTACTTGGTTGAACTCTAGGACATCTAGTAGCTCATTTAACTTCCGGTTCTTCGCATTCTCATCAAGCTTCACGTAGTGTTGCTGTAATCCGTGCAGCGTCAACTTCGTCTCGTCATCAACGAAGATCTCTAAAGGCTGCCGTAAACGTCAGTCAGAAATCCAGAAGAAAGAATGCATAACGTACATTTGCCATAAATTTCTTGCACGTAATCCTGATTTCTTTTGCTAGCGTAGCACTGAACATCATCACCTGCTTGTGGTGAGGTGTTGCACGGAAGATTTCTTGGACGTCCCGACGCATGTCTACGAATCAAACAAAGCACAGCGGGGAGACGCAGTTGGAATCGTAGCCGAATTCGAATTGCAGGATGAGACTAACCGAGCTGTTCGAGCATTTTATCGCACTCGTCCAAAGTGAAGTGCTTAACGTTCTTCGCATCCAAAACTTTTTCTCTCGTAAGGGCATTGAGTCGTCCGGGAGTGGCCACAACAATGTGGGGACACCGCGTCTTGTCACGGAGGATCTCCGCATCTTTTTGGACAGGGGTACCGCCATAGAACGTGCCAATCCGCACATCAGGCATGTATTTGGCAAAGCGCGTGTACTCGTTCTTTATCTGGAAAGCGAGCTCGCGGGTATGGCAAAGTACAATGACGGAAACTTCGCCATTGACTGGCTCAAGTTGTTGTAGAGTTGCAAGCACGAAGACCGCTGTCTTGCCATGCCCTGACTTTGCTTGGCAGAGGACGTCCATTCCCAAAACAGCCTGAGGTATACATTCTTGTTGGACTGTTGAAAAAAGAATTTGGTGAGTTAAGAGCACCGTTCTGAACGTCACTAAAGCATACCTTCTGAGGGGTGTTCAAAACCCAAATCACTAATAGCTCTCAAAAGTTCAGGTTTCAACAAGAAGTCCCTGTGAGAAAAGGAGACAATTCACAAGATGAGTATGGTTTATGACCACCTAGAGAAGAAACAAACCTGAAGCCTGTTGAATGTATTCCAGAGAAGTTTTTCTTGTCTTTGTCGCCCTCGCCGTCCACTGTTGACGCCGTTGCTCCATTGGTAGAAGTAGCTGGAACTGCGCCATTAGGGATAACGTCGTGCTCATCCTCATAATCAATAAGTTCCTCGTTGTCGTGAGAGCTCATTGTTGTGCAAAAAGAATGTAGGTAGAGGTCGTTGACAGAATTCAAGAGGAAAGCGTCCGGCGAATTCCGAACACTGACTCCTTTCGATCTCCGTGTTCCGGGGTCCTCGTTAAAGCAACTTGAATCGAGTCTTTGCGCAAAAACGGCTACATACTCAAATTTCTTAGGCAAGTCTGAGTAGCTTGAAAACAGTACATGCAACACTCCTCGGTAGTCTTTATCTCAAAACAGGCATGTGAGCGAGGGCCTTTCAAGGGATATTTCTAAATCGTGCAGTCAGTCGTAGAATGCTTCTCATTCTCATGTCTGCTAGTTTTGGCAGCATTGCTAGGAAGCTCGGTGTATTTATGTGTCCATGTCGCCTTCGCTGGTTAGATTCAATGACATTAATCAGCGCCGTCATTAGAGGTGGGCTTGAACGTGCTCGTCGTCAACTGTGCACGCTAGTTGACCCTTTGAAGCAAGACGTACTGCGCAATACGAGACAATGAACTATATTGAGATTAGGGAGACGCTCATCTGTCGTCGATTAAGTATGTCAAATGATGACCGTGTAAACCACAAGATACCGATAAAGATAGGCGGTGCTTTCTCCAAGATAACAGGCGTAGCGCTCCGGTCTTTCGTGATTGATTGATTCCGACTCTCCGCCAGGTATCAACGTGTCGCTAGGATCGAAAGAAATAGCCTTGCTTCAAGAAACGTGATCGGAAACTTGTGGATCGAGCATGCCTTTCTGAAAAATTCATGGGCGGCCAAAACCTTGGGACGCCAAGACCTTCGATTAGAAAGAGGCTTGATGACCCCACGAAAAATTGCAGTGCAGCCATTGGTTTAGCATGGGAAGGGACCGAAAGCACTGTTGCCAATAATACTTTGAGCACAGACTCGCACACTGGATTGTCAGCAATTTGAACAGCCACGACCAACCTGCACTCGTACAACTTCACCTGTTTTAGGTAGACACCCTACAGGAGGGAGTTGATCAGCGACATATAACTTAAACCCACCCTTTCCTACAATAATAATCGAGCGAGGAAGCGGCAGGAATGTGGTCAAATGGGGAGCTCTCACCTAATGAAACAAGGCTTGCGAAGACGCACCTCTGTCTTTATACTGTCTCGTACCGTATTGAATGATACCCGAAATGTATTTGTCCATGCTCTGACAGACTCGGACTCGTCGACGCCAGCAAGCATAGGGCATCCGATTATTCCAGGTCGCGTCAAAGGCGGCCTGACGCCACGTGATCTGGGTATAAGCCCCATTTGTTTGGTGGATCTGATTTCATCTTCTCTCAGTGAAGCACTTCTCCGAGTCTGCCTTAGAGCTTCTTAGACGCGACAATTCTTTGATTTTATTCCATTAGGAGCGGCAATGGGTGCACGGCATGCACTCATCGACGAGGGTCATTTTGCCCGCTGCATTTGAGGTCGCTGGAATAGATGATCTCGCTCTTCTCATAGGTAACTTGAATCCAGTACTATGTGATTCATTCAGATCTAATTGACATCTGAAGCTAATATGCTTGAACGATTGATCGCTCATAATGACAAGATACCACTTCTACCGTACGTCCATCTCAAAACCATTCTTATCGTCCCCCTTCATTATTTTCATTCCCAGCGAGAGCCTTACCCGATTTCACTCGAGAACCGTACCAAACATCAGCGTCCTCGATTATCTCCGGCGTATAATCAAATGGACAAAAGTCGAGGTCCGTATCCATTATTCGATATTTTAAAACCATCCGTCTCACCTGTATCTCAGAAATCATGCCTTCTCCTCACACTACACTATGTCGACCAAATCTGCGCCCGCATGCCCCTCTTCACCCTCTCCTCCCTCACCTGCCACCGTTTCATAATCGCATCCATCACAGTCTGCAGCAAAGGCCTCTGCGACTCCTTCTGCACAAACGCCCTATACGCCCGCGTAGGCGGCATCCCTGTCCCAGAACTAAACATCCTTGAACGCGAATTCCTTCACGCAATAGACTGGCGCTTAATGGTTCGCACACATCGCACCTCCTCCTCCCCGTGTTTTCCTCTCACATTTTCGCAGTGCACCCGCGAAGTCCTTCAGGAATATTATATCAATCTCATTAGAACAGATAGCTCGGGCCGCTTTGGGCTTGAAGGCGCACCGGAATCGGAAGTGGAGGATAGTGATATGGACAGCTTGTCCTCTCGCTCGGCGTCCCCTATGGACGCACAAGTCCGCCATCGTCCGTCGTTTAGCCTCCTGGGCAACCGCGAGTCTTCAAGCGTTTTGGGAGATACTTCTACGCTCCCTACTATCGAACAGAACATGGCGTTTGCTGCGTTGCAGCATTCGCTGAAGAAGCCTCCATAGACCTAGGAGTTCGGTTTGGGGTTTCGGTTTGTTGTACCGATGGCATCGTACGTACGCACGCACGGACGCACTCCCCGGCGATATTTTCGTCACCGGCTCATCATCTCGCGCCATAGATTGGCATTTAGTCATCCTAGCGCCATGCGTCACGCGTAAACGTTCAACGTCAACTTTTATCCCCCCACCATCTTTCCGTCTCTGCATATATACATACGCACGTGGCTCGCAAAAAAATCATTGTAATCACAACATAACTTACAAGGGATTACAAAGATGTCCGAAATTCAATGAATGACATGGGTTTACGAGTACCTACTGTAACGAGCGACAAGGCCAAAACCAGTGAATTTCTTATCTTGTCAAAAAAAAACGAATCTATAGTATTGTATGCGTATCAAGTAATGGTGTAATACAGTCCGAGAGCGAATTCGAATGAGCGTAGTTGGTTGGGTTTTTGTAACAAAGGCAATGAAAAATGCAATGATTTGGTTGGTTATGGTTTTTTTTGAGACTTGCAACGAGTTTGAGCTTTGAATTGGGTTTGGTTGGAGATTATTATGCACAGATAAGAAGTAGCAGCACAATATATGCACAACGACCTTTGAGCCTGCACCCAAAACCAGCATGAGCGGATGGATTACAATGATGAAAAAGGCTGGTGTTCGCACCGTAAGTAGTTGGGTACCATACAATACATCGACCGCCTCCACCACGACAACAGCACCTACAGGCCATAAGCCGTCTAACAAGAACAACAAAAACACACACACACTTCCGACTTTCACAACGTACACCCTCATCAGAGCCTCAAAGCAGAGAGCATCTTTGCCAGCGCATGGATCTGGCCCTTCTGCACCTTTTTCGGCGTCTCCTCCTCACCACCCCCCAAATCAGTTGTACTAGTAGCAGCATCCCTAAGCGGCGCAGGCTTCTCGTTGATCGTATCCAGCTTCGGTTTCCTCGTCCGCGCTTTCCGCTGGGGAGGCTGTCCGAAGATATCGCCTACGGGATTAATATGGAGCTGTCGTGGAAGCTCGTCGAGTTCCCAAGGGACACCATTCATGACTATTACCGACTCATGTCAGCAACGTGCCCATAAAAGTAAATGAGAGGACGTACTCTTGATATTCTTCGGAATCTGTGTTGTAGCCTGCCCCCCATTCCTCCAACTGCCACTGCCACTACTCACACTCGTAGCAGTCGTCGACACGCTCCTCACGCTTGAATTGCTGTACCGCGTGAATGCAGAGGTGCTCGTGCTTGCGCTGCTCATTGAACTTCGCCAGTTGGTGCTGCGGACGCTGCCTGGTGGTGAATGACCTCTTACGCTCCCGTTTGCGTTGACGTTGGAGTTCCCATTGTTGACAGAAGGAGCGGGGGTGCTGAAGGCAGTGCTAAACGTAGACGAACCAGGTCTCCGCCCGCGCGCCCACGTGCGTGCCTCATCCGCCGGACTCCGCTGTCTCGTAAGCGGGTTGTACACACCACCACCATTGACACTCGTACTCGAGTTGACATTGATAGCATTGTGCGTGTTGTACGGTGAGGGTTTGAGACTGCTGCTTGGATTTAGTGTAGGTTGAGAGAGCCCCATGATAAGAGTGGTGACGTTGCTCGCGGTGCCTGGCGCCGGTGTCTCTTCCGTGGGTGTAACAATAGTCTTGCCGCTCCCGAAACCCAACTTCCACTTGCTTGGCTTCTTCACGACCACAGGCCTCGGTGCTTCCGTCTCCACAGTAGGAAGCCTCGCAAGGCTCGAAGCATGGCTCGCATTCCTGTCCAAATCAACGATACCAAGCGACGAGCGGCTTGCACCCCGACTTGCAAGACTGATTTCCCGTGCCAAGCTCTGCGAAGCGACAGCAAGCGTCTGGAGTGTCTCATCCGTTGTCGTTTTCTGCAATGCTTTTCGCGACCCGCGCTTTCCCCGTTTCTTCGTCGATCGTGACCGTCCGTCGTCGTCTTCGTTGTGCTCGTCTTGGCGCTCACGAGAGAGGTCTTCGGGTTCTTCGACGAGGACACCACCGACACTTGGAGCTCTGCTCAATGACCTGCTGCATACGAGTGGGGTGCGCAGTGCTGCGCGGGACGAGGGGCGGCGAGAGGGCGGGCATGAGGAGAGGGGGTGGCCGTGTGTTGATGAGGCTGTGCTGAGGACGCGCTTGTGGCCTCTGTGGGAGGGCTCACGATCGCACAGGAGGGTAGGGAGATCCTTGATCCATGCACCGAATTGGCGGGCAGTGACGGGCATGTGGCTAGCGTCAAATGGGGGTAGGACGAATACGCGCTGGGTGAGGAACTCGGCGACGGGCCAGGTCATGCCGGTAAAGCGCTGCATGAAAAAGTGGGCGCCGTGTGCACGGAAAAGAGAAAAAGAGGAACAGGCACCGTCAGAGGTGTCTGTCCATGGATTATAGTGGTACAACCTGACAGAAACATTAGAAATCATTCAAGAACGAAAAAGTGGCATACATATTGATCAAGACGATCCCAAGACTCCAGACGTCGCTTCTCTCGGGGCTGTAGGTCGGAGCTACGTTATTACGGCACTCGAAGCTCATGTAGGGCGCGCTCCCACAGTCCATGTCGGCACTTTCCACCTCGTTTGTGCTCAGGCCAAAGTCCGTGAGTTTGACTAGGACTTTGCGCTCCATGCTGTCTGAAGAGGAAGAAGGTGCGTAGCCGTCTGTGACGATAAAGTTTTCTGGCTTGATATCGCGGTGAAAGACACGCTGGTCATGACATGCGGCGACTGCATCGCACATTTGGGCAAACATGCTTGCGATGAGTCTGAGGCGGGTGTGGCTTAGTAACGCAGAGGGGTGAAGAGAGGCGAGAAGAGAAGGGGTAGGAGGAGTCTTGCTCTCTGTGTTCTCGTCTGGGGCATAGTGATCGCGTGCTTGCTCGAGAAAATAAAAGAGATCTTCGCCGGGGACAAACTCCAAGACAAGGAGTAGAAAAGCGTCAGTCTCGAGTGTACGGTGAAGTGTGACAATGTTCGGATGCGGAGAGAGGGATTGATGTATTGTGACTTCTGTGAGCTGTGCTGTGAGAGCGTCGGAGTCGAGGTTTGCCTTTGAGAGGACTTTAAGAGCAAAATCTCTGCCATAAACGATAGGTGGAGGGGTTGGATCGAGATCGAGGACGCCAACGTGGCCGTCGTCGCTGATGGGCATACGGGAGATGACTTCACGGACGAGATAGACGACTGCATAGCTGCCTGTTCCCAGTCTACGAATGACTTGGAATTCTTTTGCAGTGTTCATATCTATTGGAGCGAGGATGCAAGGACGAACTGGATCGCCCTGCAGAAGTAAGTCCTCGCCTACGAGGTCGCCTGGAGCTAGGACATCTTCTATGAGAGATGATACTGATGGAAGAATTGGGCTTGGTGGTAAAGGTGGGGATGCAATAGAGATTGGGGATGGAATAGAAATTGGGGATGGAATAGAAATTGGTAAAACAGGTGGAGTCAGAACGGAAGAAGGTTGCTTGCGAATTTGTTCTTTAGCGAAACGCCTGTTGAAAAGACGAGAATGTGCATGTGGGTAGTCATTATGGGGAATATCTTTAGTACGATTCTGTTTGTAGGGAAGAGGAAGAGGAATCGGTTGAGCGGAATACTGCAACATGAGCTCGTGTAGTCGGGGGGATAGTTGTAATGCGTTATTGGAACAACGAAGGACGTCAATGAAGACGATGTTGACTGCTTGTGATCGCTGTCGTTGTCGTCGTCGCCGTTGTCGTCGTCGTCGTCGTCAGACTGCTCAGAGTCTTCAGAAACCTGCTGGACGGACTTCTGAGAGTATAATATTAGTTGTAATGCATTCAACGTATCTGTCGAGAAGTGAGAATTGGGGAATTTAAGTGTGATGAAACTTACGAAGGATGGAGGGAAGAGCTCAAGTCACTTTGCGACGCAGTTAGGTTTAATAGCCATGTGCTACACTATTTCCATAAATGGTTAACTCTCAAGTTTCGAATCTTTTAAAAACATTTTACAAAGCTCGTGTAAGTAATACTAGTTGACTAAATCTTACTCATTGACTCGAAATCAGCTTTCGACGTCGTGTCCTACGACGTCGAGCTACATGTTATTTTACGTGGATTTACTAGTACCGTAGTTGATCCACATGCTCGCATACCATAATTAGCTTCAGACCATGCGTTCTTGTATCTAACGCCATTTAATCAAATTTCATTTCCTGCCTCGTTGCCTTTACTCCAACTCGCTTCCGTTATCCCCCGGCAATACATACACCCCCGCATGCTGCGCTCGAACATTCCAGCAGGCGCATCACCAGTACCAAGTACCACCATCCTTAGGGGCAATATATGTCTTATCAATATCGACGTGGCAAATGAAATACTCGTGTATGATGCATGATCACACCATACAACTACTTATTGTAATGCTAATATAGCAATGCCACGCCACCCTCACCCGCTATCGTGCATCATTTCATTCAACTACCCATTGTCTACGTGATCCCTACGTGGTATCTGGATATTCCTGTGCACAGTCGATCGATCACCCATTAACTTTTCACGGCAACGTTAACCGAACTCGCGACCCGCAGAGCGCAGTACTGTCACAGGGCATGTCCGCAGCAGCGCCTCAGCTGCAGACACTCGGAGATCCAGCAAGATGCAACCAACCTACCACCGCAGTCTCGGATGCCGCAACATACTTCGTCTTACTTACCTACTTCCATTCGATTGCCTCGTAATAATATCATCCGACTTATTGGTCTATTCCATGTCCGAACAGCCCTCCACGCCCCGTGTTAGATCTCCTTTGCAAAAACCTCCATGGATACCACCTTTCAATATCCGTCATCTCGATATAAAGGAGCCTCGAACTGTCCAAACCCATTACAGTCTCCGGCTTAAAGACAGTCCAACCACCCGCGGAGCTACCCTTCTGTCCCTCGCAAAACTAGGTATTCCTGGTGTACTGTCGGTTTCATGAGGGATATATCTTATCGTGCAGGGACATCAGCAGGAGCTTATCCATAGTCCCTCTCACCATAATCGACGATCATGGTACAAACTCGCGCCTCATCAATTTCAAGGCCCAGCCCATATCGCGCGCCGTTCAGCAGGAATCCATGATGACGATCCGGAACACTGAAAGAAGACGATTGGAAGCTAAAAATTGAGCCTGGCATTCGAAGCTCAGTCAAACAGGGTCGCCCAAACGCATAATGATAAGCGACTGGATAAAACAACACATATGTCAAAGCAGATGACACGCACGGTATCATAGGCCGATAAACTCAGTTCCATGTCATGGGTTTCACCACCAAACGAATGTTTTAGAAATTCCAGCTATCCTCTGCCGTCATTGATCTATTGTATCCACCCTTGGGGGAAGATGTGTGGGATGATCTCGTAACTGCATCATGGCACAATCAAATAAGCACGTATGTCAATTCCAGAAATACGTATTATATACTATACAGTAGAAGTTCAAGCTTGTTCCAGTTATATAAATCGAATTCGAACATTTTTCTTGACCCGTCCGCTCACATGCTGAAATAACACGTCTTCTCTGAGATAATTTAGGTCAGGTGAAGTCTGCCTTTATCAAACAAGGAGGGCAGAGCTGGAATACCACAAGTGCTTTAGATCGTCTGTTTGTATTTTTTGCCGCGGATCGCCTCATCTACTACATCGCGGAGCTCAGAAAGCCTCGGGTACTAAGCCTTTCCCGTGTCAATGCAACAGCCCTGACCTTGAGAAGTTTTTCGCAGAGTCCGAGTCCGACAACAGAGGACCAATAATCAGCCGTCCGTTGAGATGCCAAATATTGGCTCATCTCCTGCCAGGAAGCACCTCGACCACTCTTAACGCAACTGAAGAAGCAAGGTGACTCATCCAAGCACTTGATGGAACGCTGAAGCTGCATGCAAGTACGTGAGCTTCATTTAGAAAAAAAAGATTTATGCAACTGAACCTATGTAAGCTATGGTTGACTCGTTCCAGCGGGCCGGACTGCTCACGGATCTCCCGGAAAATCTGTACGTTCTCGATGTGCCGCTCGAGCCTGGATCTTTCAAAGGAAAGTAAGTTGATTCAAGTTGCCTGTTTCTGCATATGCCGGAAACTCGTCCGGACCGACTCGTCGGTATTGCCGGAGCAAAGCATAACGCAACGATGAACCTTCTCGAAGAGTCAGATTCCAACAGAAAGGCCGCCCTCTGTTCCGACCGGTGGCAATAATATTATACACTAGCTGGTAGTGCGTGCCAAACTACGGAAGCAAAGGACTCCAAGGAACACCGTAACCTACTACTACGTGAGCTTCTTTCAGATGGAAGAACACCAGCTACGTACAACTTTGAACGGCCGCTGAGCGCTGAGTCACGGCCCCGGATCTCCCAGAAAATTTAAGGAACCTTGTCATGTTGCACCCTGACTCGTGGGTTCGAGGAAGCCGGGCGGATGCGGCCTTGTGTGATGCTGGCATGTCTGAGCCAAGACACATTGTTCGTTATTCGGAGAGGTGGTTGGCAGTGCAAGCTTTCCAGGATGCAATCAAGGTTATAGAGCATCGAGATAATCGTGGGACGAGATTGTCAGGCAGCATGCATGCTTGAGGCTTGCGGCCGCTGCGAACTCATCATACCACATCCATTATTCATCCAGATAGCCTCGGGATGTAAGGGAAGTTGCAAAGTGTGTACCACCAGGGAAACACAAGGCAAGCCTGAGATTGACAAACCTGTCAAGTATTGACATACTGCGGGAAGTCATCATGGGTAGGACTGGCTACATACGTGACCTGCACAGTGCACTGACAAACTTCGTGGAAATTATTAGTCTTTCTATGACTTCTTCATTTCCTTTTCCAAACCACCTATAACTTCAGTCGATCTGGTTAATGCCTATGTTGTCGGATGCGTGTATGTCGGTGAGCAGTTGTTGTGACCGTAGTCTCATATAGTTGAAATGCTAGCCTGTGGCTTCAACCTGTTCCTGACTGAAGCTTTGTGCCGTGTGCATTCAATTGAGACCCCGCAGGCACTTGCGACAACACATTGAGGCCTGAGGCTGAGGCGGCCCAGCCTCATCAATGCATGTGTATTCAAATGGCGCTATGTAAGTAAACTGTACCCGTTTTCGATCATGCGGGTGGTTATATTCAATATTTCCTGACATGCTGCTGTCTTCCTGGAGATGGCAACACTTCAAATTTTCACGGTGTCCCAGGAAACATCGTGCATGCCTTCGTATGCCCTTGGGTGTTTGATTTTTTGGGGGAGATTCACAGAAACGAGTGCACACGACATGCCCTGAATGATGATGGATCGGGTCCTTGCGATCAGGCCCCGTGCCTCTGCGCTTTAGAGGAAGCGCCAAATGCAATCACAGGGATGGCCGTATACTATGTAGTATGCTTCCTTATCCCAATCTGGCGACGTGGCCGCAGTCAGGAAGTCATTTTTCGCCTTCATTTCGGATTGCTTGTAATCAATGGCGAGATAAGGGCGTCATATCGTCGAATTCGGTGTCTAGGGAACTGGTAGGTTAGCCAATAAAGATTAAATGCCGCCTTCCATATGGTCTGCTATAGGGCCCAAAGGTCAGCCAGCTTTCATTTCGTTGCGCTGATGAACATAGCATAGATCGTATTCACCATGTACTCACTAGCACATTTCACTTCGCTCAACCCCATATAGCACTCTCGACGTCATGTAATCGCAGGGAAGGGTTTCATTTTCATAAGCCCGTCAGGTGAGCTGGGGCCCTGTGCCAGCGCAGCAGACCCTTTATGGTTACCCCATACATCGTAGCCGTATGCGTGACTGAGAAAGTGCTAATCGTTGCCAAGAACCTACTAAGGACGGTCTCGTGCTGCGCCTTGTGTCAATAATATCACGAATACGCGGGAACTCCTGTTTGCAAATGCAATTGCGCCCATCGAACAACGGCGTCTTTCAACCTTCGTTCCTCACGGATAACACCCGTCAGTGATGAGGTTGACTGTGAGTAGCATCATGAAGGGGCTATAATTTGCTGAACTGACGTTTGGTGAAAGGGCCAGTGGAAGCAAGTCTTCTTTCGATTCATTAGCAAGCTCTTCGCGTCGAATTGTCATCGTCGTATAGCCATTTGCACTTCTATTCGCCTTGTTCGTGGGGCGACCTGAATGTCTACAGCGAATGTAGCTTGTGTAGCCCGTTAAGTGCGCTAATGCGCTCATGTTATAGGTTTAGATTGCCCTAGATCGATATGCTCTTGTATACCATTCTTCGCGATCTCGCACCTGCGTTCCTTGTTAGTGGTGGCAAAAGGGATCATTAACTCGCGTCCGCCACTCTTACCTTCCCTCTTCATTTCCGTCTCAACCTCAGCCAGGGATTCTGCTATTCAAAACACAGTTTGAGCTCAGAACTGGTGCCTAGACTACACTTACCGGGAAAGAAGACATCAGTGATCAAAAGACCCATGCGATATCTGATAGTGATACACAAGCATATCTTCCACTAGATAAGTCCTGGAGGCATTATTGATATCATCTGCCGCCACCATTAATCTTCATGGTGGTGACCTCATGTTTTCATGCTGGCCACCAGGAACCATATCAACGAAGCCCCTTCATTTCTGAGACTCAACAGACTTGACG